TCAATACTTACTGGTGATACGTATCGCCCAGATTTGTTATTATCGTGCTCAAATGGTTCCTTATATGTGGTTGAACTCACCACTGGTTATGAGACAAACCTCAAAAACAATGTAAAACGGAAGAAGGATAAATATAGAGAATTATTGAGACAGCTAGGTAAAAATTTTAGCCAAGTTAAATTTATAAATCTCTCCATCAGCTCTTTAGGTATTTTTGCAGAAGAATGTTATACATTTTTAGACATGTTAGATAGTATTGGTCTTGACAAAAACCACCAAATGTACTGCGTTAGGAAAATGATGACTATTGCTATTAGAACTACATATTACATTTTCTGTTGCCGAAATAAGGAATGGGAAAATCCGGATTTACTAACAATTTGACTTATCTTATTGTATATATATATATATATATATTGCATGCACTTTGTTCTGTTATTTTAGTTTAGTATAATTGTGATTCAAATAGCCAACCGTAAGTTACCTTTATGAGAGAGATTTACGATTGTATATGTATGTAAAGAAAAACATTTAATAAAGTTTCCATTATTATTATTATTATTATTATTATTATTATTATTATTGTTATTATTATTATTATTATTATTATTATTTAATCTTCTTTAAAAACAACGGTAGCCCTTCAGCATAGATAAGAGCTGTTTTCCAAGGGGCCGTTGCACAATACATATTTCCTTGTTGTTAATTGGAAATTATTTTCTTCTGTTTTGCCATCCAAGTAAAACCAGCCATCAATAGAACCACAGCCCATAATTGCCAACTAGACCTATTAACAACAAATCAAAATAATTTTGAGTATTGCGAATAGACTATGAATACTGCTTGTGTGTATAAAGCTTATTATTTTTTTTGTTACGCACAAATTAACCTGTTTATAATAAGAACAAAGTTACACACACCAATCAGACACAATAGTCAATACAGAGGCGAGCACACTATGATATACAATAATATTATACCTCAAATTCAAATTGTCCAATCAGGAAGCTTAGTTTGTGCCACGTGAGGATGGAATTAATCACAATATCACGCCTTACGTCGTTCCGTTTCCCGGGGAACATGGGGTGGAACATTATTCGCGTAGACCACGCGAGACAACACGCATGACAACAACATGGCCGACAAAATATAACTAATAGTATTATTATCTACCAATAGTCAAAGTCGCATTTTTCTAGTGTTTTATTGGTCGAGAGCATGTCACGTGAGTGTTACGAACTTAGACTGTCTCCCTCGCAACAGCGCGAGAGGGAAACAATACGTTATCGAACGGCGAATAACGAAAAAAAATCACGTGCGCCATCACGTGAAGATGCGACCTTTGGACATGCCTAGCAATTCAAACTTTCGCTTTAAGTAACTGCAGTGTTTATTAATTTAACGTTTTAACAATAAAATATTTCATGTATTTACGTTCATCTGTTCTTTAATTTGTTGTTTCTTTGACTATTGATATATAATAAAACACTTATTTACGGGCGTTGTGATTGTTTATCACGGAACATGGCGAAATATCACGGAATATGGCGGAATATCTCGGAATATCACGACATTTTCCCGGAATATACCGGAACATCACGATATTTTCCGATGGTAGCCATCAGTAGCGTAGCTAGCGGTCATGCTGGTCATGCTGAGCATGTGTCAATGTTGTTTTTGAATAGGTGGAGGGTGAGTAGTCACATAGTAAGGTTCGACACTTACTCCCCAGCTTTGCCAAAACAGCAATGGCACTCAAGAGAAGCTCAGATCGAACCTCCACTCATTGAGTGTGAGTGAGCTCTTAGGTAGAATACAGGCAATAGGGGAAATATCCACTCAAATGTGGTGACTCATGATATAACTATTCCTGGGGAGATAACCACTTGACTTAAGTGTGGTGACCCCCAAATACAATTTCATATCTTGCTTTTGCTATAAGGTCTATTATTTTTTTTAATAAAATGACCAGAGTTATAAGGGAAATATCCACTCAAATGTGGTGAGTCCATGATATAACTCTTCCTCGAGAGATAACCACTTGACTTGAATGTGGTGACCCCAAAATATAATTTCATATTTTACTGGCTATAATTTTTATTTTTTTATTAGATGACCAGATTTATTTGGGAAATATCCACTCAAATGTGGTAGTTCATGATATAACTTTTCCTGAGGAGATAACCACTTGACTTGAATATGTGGTCACCCTAAAATTTAATTTCATATCTTTTATTGCTATGAGGTCTATTAATTTTTTTATTAGATGACCAGAGTTATAAGGGAAATGTCCACTCAAATGTGGTGAGCCCATGAAATAACTCTTTTTGGGGAGATAACCACTTGAATGTGGTAACTCCAAAATATAATTTCATATATTTCTTTTACTATAAGTTTTATTTTTTTATTAGATGACCAGTGTTATATGGCAAATATCCACTCAAATGTGGTGGCTCATGACGTGATGACATGTGGTGACACATAATTTCCATGTTATTCTTTCACTATTTCTATTATTCTATATTAATTAGACTTGCACAGAAAATTGCACCAGTCTTCACCTCACCGGTACAGAAAGTTTGTCTCGCATTTACGTATTAGTCTATGGCTTATTGTATGATTTTATGTACTTCTTTTTCGTTGGAAATGATGAGTGTCGTTCTAGTGCAGCATCATAACTTTTTGATTATTGTTTGCAGTTTGCACCCAATCTGAGCCAGTAATAACTCGTTTGAGTTATTTGTAATGTAATTAGTAATGCTGTTCATGCTGAAATAAAATGTTTTTGTGTTTTCCTGAAGCTGTTTTGCTTTTTGTATGGAGTTTATTATATGAATTTGCGGAATTTCCATACGTTTCACCGCGCAGAAAGCAGGAAATTAAGTTTGAGTGACGCTAAATTGCCCAAATGTTTTGTATGAATATGAATAGATAAATGTCTGAAAAGGCCGTTTCCGACGATCTAGAGGCCCTAATTTTAAATTTTATACTCGCTCGGCGCCAACCATGGTGGCGCCTCGTGAGGTTGCTACTCAGCCAATAGCATGACCAATCATTTTTCCCTAGCTACGCTACTGGATACAAAAGCGGACATTTGCTAAATTTGGTCTCTGACCTCAGATTAGGCGAAGCGCGCGCTTAATTAAATTAAGGAATTCAAGAAGGCGACAGCAAAGCGTGCTCGGCATGAGAAAGGATTTTATAGAAGCGTAGAGCGTGGTACAGCAATAAAAGCGGAGCGAATACGGCCAAAACAAGAAAAAGTTAAGAAGGACAAGCTGTATCCTATTGAAGTAAGTACATGTCCTAATTTCGTTTATAGTGAAGTTTCGTTGCATTCTCATCTGAATATAAATATCCACATTTCCTAAACACTATATTAACTTGTTTTTATAGATTATTGACAGAGACAAGTGTTCCAATAAAGTAAAAATCCATTACACAGGATACTCTAGTGAGTTTGATGAGTGGAGAGATGCTACTGAAGTATCTAATGGCGAACAATCTAGGAAGTTTGGTCGTTTAACACAACGCTTTGAGCCAAGTGTTGACTCTTTGCCAGATAGGGCTTCAGCCTTCTTTTATACCTTAGGAAAGACGGTTAAAGCGTCGTTGTATTCCAGCAAGCGAGAGTCACCCGATATACGAATCGAAGAACGAATTGATGCGGACATTTACAACAACTATCTTCAGAATATTGGTGTGGTGAAGAAATTCAGGGGCAAAAATGTGCATGCATTAAATAATGACAGTGACATGTGTCAAATTTTGGGGAGCAAATGGTTTGAAAGAATCATCAATGTCAATGGAGACTTCTGCTATGTTGTTCGGGATACCGTGAGGTTCTGGTTGAACGAGAAAAAAACAGTGAAGGAATTTTTTTATGTTGGGGAGCACCTTTTCGAGAACCACATTGGAAATGACTTGCAGCTTATATTTACTTTTGTTCGTGGAGATGGTGTAAGGACTGAGTACAAAACAAATGACTGGAAATAAGCACTCAACAAGTATTTAATTATATATTTTGTTCTGTTAAAAATTGTACTGCTTGTTGTAAGTGCTTGCACCATTCACAATTCATCCCTAGCACTATTCCGTTGACAAATATAATTGTCTAGTGTTAAATAACAAAGTGCATTGCAGCTCAAATAGATGCAAGTACTCACAGCAAGCTTGACTGTTGTGCACTAATCAATTGAAAGCTGGGACCCTGGCATATGCCTGGTAGCAAACGGTTTTATTAACCCATTTTCTGCCAATGGCCTAAAAACTGAAGGATATAATTGTCTGGCATTAGTATAAATAAAATACCAAAGTAGGGTAAATTTGGGAACATTGCCAGATAATGGGTTAAGCATCAACATTTTGATACCTGTGGCTTTAAAGGACATTGGCAACCAAAATTTTTATTGCTTATATCTATTAGGTATGCTTACGGAATACTTAATTTTATATTTTGGCCGGTTTGTCGCATTTAGTTGTTGAGAAAATGTAATAAAAAGTTCAACAGTAGTCCGCCATTTTGAAAATAAACACTTGTGCCACAGCATACATTATCTGACGTCATTAGATGGGTAAACACAATTTCATGACTATAAAACAATACCGAGTATTACCACGCGTAGTGCACTTTGAGCCTAAACGAAGGGCAGAAACGTTTTACCAAGTATGTTCCTTATTTGTAACACTATTTCTGATAGTATATCAGTCCTAGTCCGTGTTAAATAAACGCAGTAATTCGAATGTAAACAAGGCAAACACTAATGCAATATTTTATGATCAATTACCTGTATTGTAAATTGCGCCATTCCTTGCTTTCCCAGTCGCTCGATATGTTTTTATCTGATAGTGTAGGCTTCTCTTGTTTGATTGCGAAAAGTATTGGCCAGTATAACGCTCAAAACGACATATTTTTGGCTAACACGACACGCACGCAATAGAATTATCACTTGTAGTTTTGGTGCTACCCATCTAATGACGTCACAAAATTCGTTGACCTTCGAAGGTCATTTTTTCCAAGATGGCGGCGACACACAAAGTTTGCATGCATTTTACTCCTAGAGTAAAATGTTCGAGAAGGAAATGATAATATTTTCATAGTTAGGTTGTCAAGTAGGATTGAAATAGCCAATAAAAATTTTCGTTGCCAATGTCCTTTAATAGGCACAATGCTTGCGGTCAGTATCATATCTGTATGGCAAAATGTGTCACTTCGCCGCCCTTATTAGCCTGCACCGTAGAAGGACATACACTTCTTTGGAAAATTGGAAATCAAAAATCTGCTCCATTTTTGAACGTACTTTTTTATTAAAAAATTTACCGGTCACGCATGTCCGCCAGGCGACGATATTTTCCGGTCAAACTGTGAAATTTTACCGGTCAGTGACCGGTGACCGGCACTTATTTCGAGGCCTGCTGTGTAACTAAGCTGTAACTGCAATAATTTCCTATAGCCATGCATGAAAGCATTGGTATGGGCTGTAAATTAAACTAAATATTATACCTCAAATTCAAATTGTCCAATCAAAAAACAGCGTTTGTACCACGTCACAATGTGATTTTTTACGATATTTTACTCAAATTCATGATTTTGCAATGCAGCATGAGATACTATAATATCCCACGGTAGATCCACCGTGGGATATTATAGCATCACACGCGTGGACACCACGTTCTGAAACAATATGGCGTTCGCGAGCTGTTGTTTGTAATTTCGTACAGAAGTTTTATTGATTTAAGTTAAGCAAAGATTTTCAAGACGTATGTTACCTTCAATGCATGATCAAAGGATACATGCTCAAATATTTTGAAGAGAAAACGTCAAAAACTCAGGTATACATAAGAAATTAAATTCAAGTTTTAATTAAAGTTTATTCTGAATTTGGTTGGTTCTTTAACTTTCGGTATAATTTATCATTTATAGACCCTCCGCTCGGGGGATTCATCTGAATATTACCCTCAGTGATGATATTTCCCTCAGAGCAAAGCCCCTCGGGAAATATCATCACTTCGCGTAATATTCCACCGAATCCCCCTCGCTCCGGGTCTATAAATATTGCATGAAATTTGGTTCCGATATTGGAATGGTCTGAACTAGCCGTAAATTAATGATCATTGCATGCAAGGTTGAAATACTGTTTATTTCTCCTTTTTTATGTGACACAGCCAGTGGCTTAACCAAATTATTAGTTTTGAAAGAAGTAAATTATTAGCTTTGAAGCTACAGTAGTTTTTTTTTGTATTGTTCAGGTGGTTCAACCTTCTTCAGTATCAAGCAGTCTTAAGCGTGCCTACGTGATTTTCAAAGCCGAGAAACGATCGACTTGACCGTTGCATATTTGTGTAATTGTTACATTACCATTAGATACAATAATCAATCATGTGTTTCACAGATATATCAGGCAATATACACATAGTTACTTGAAACAAATTTATTTAGTATTTTTACCCAAGTGAACATAACAAATCCTACACGTTGATTGGTCAAGTTTGACGTAATAAGCTGTTATATTCACCTGTAGGTGAATATAACAAAACAGAAATTTTCAAAATGGCGGCTAACCCGTTTTGTGGAAGTTTACTGACAAAGAAATAAGCGAAATTAAAATAAATTCAGTCTCAAAAACACAAAAGCTTGTGTAAAAATACTAAAACAATTATATTCCCCGATAATTACTCGCCTTCGGCAAATAATTGTTAAATTTTGTGTGAAATCTCAGGTACAATTGCGCGGTCCCTTTCTACGTGCAACTTTTAGTCAACGCTCTGCCGAAAGCCGTGAGTTACCTCCGGGTACTCCCACAGGGAAAGTTGACAGGGTGGGTTAGGTAAAAGGGCCCACATTAATTGGCATATGCTGTTGTGGTGACCCTGTCCCAGTTGGCAAAGCTAAATAAAAAAATTATTATAGTACTGGTTAGGTCTAATATATAAACGTATATAAATTTACACTCGATAATTTCCATCTACTGTACAAGACCCTTTATTTATTATATATGTAGTGTGCCACTTTCCCAAACCAAGCACAAAAGAGCACATGCGTTCAGCAGCATGAAAATTGTTCGACCCCCCACCGCGGTTCCGAGATCTGACTTTACTTAGTGTTAATTTATGTTTATTATTTTCTAGATCGAGGACAGGTTCTCAGCATGTATGAAAGACGCTTACCAGAGTCAATACATGGATCCAGAATTCAAACACGTGACTGAAGCTTGGGACACATTTCAAGACAGGGTAAGGCCATGCATCACTGACTGGATCGGCTTTGAACCGCGGGAGAAGGCCTAGCGAAATTCGTTAACTTGGTCTTAGCCCTACATTCGTAAAGTAACTTTACCCGAACTGCCAGTATACATACATGTATTTCCTTCCAAATCGAAATATATTCATTCATTCTTCATCCCAAAGGCATAAAATTATACTTTTACATTAATCAGGGTTCGTACGGGTCCTGGAAAACCTGGAAAGTCATGGAATTTCAATATTCCAAAATCCAGGCCTGGAAATCCTGGAAAATCAATTTTAGTCATAGAAAGTCATGGAATTACATAACATTAACAAAGTATTTTACTTCGTTCAATTTACCATGCAGTCATAACAATAATATGAATTGTTGTTATATAATGGATTTTTGCAAGAGCGAAGTGAATTTTGTTCTTTTATTATATCTGTTATCGTTAAAATATTAACAAATTTCAGAGATTCCAGACTTCCAGGTCATGGATTTTGAAAAATATGGTCATGGGAAGTCATGGAAAAGTCATGGAATTTTAAATGGGAGAAGGTGTACGAACCCTGATTAATGTAAATATGTAGAATCGCGGCGAAAATGGCCCCAGATTTGCGAATTCTGCTAGGCCTTCTCGCTTCCCGTTTCTCCCCAGCGCGCCTGATCTTACATAGAGCGTCCAGTTATATATTCATTTCGATGGTTCAAATAGATCATACTGCAGTAGGTCTCGACCAATGAAAAGTAGATTGAACTGAAATTAATCAGTTATAAATATTTTCCGTCTTTTAGTTTGATTGCTGTGGTGTGGATGATCCGTTAGACTATCTCACAAACAACAAAATAAATGCTGCTCCCAAATCTTGTGGTGGAACGAAAGCAGATGCGGTTGGGAGAGTAAGTAAATAGACACTAGAGCATTTTATTTGCAACTTTGTCAATTTTTACTCTGACAAGTACACTTGTTCAAAAACTACAGTAGTATGCAGGCTTTTAGCCAGAGGGGCGTCCTGGGACGCCCCTAGAACAAAAAATGGACGCCTTTGGACGCCCAAATTCTGGGGAAAAGATAAATTATTTTCAATGATTTCCCTAAGAATATTAATATATTTGAAACGAAATCGCTTCATTTCTCATTATTATTATACATTTGACATTTTGATCAA